GTTAAGTTTTTTCAAATTAGGTGTGAAGGAGGCCAGTGACAAGAAAATTCTAGTTGACATGCTGTTTTGGGCCGTGGACAACCCTGCCCCTGCAAATTATTTGCTGATTTCTGGTGATAGAGATTTTTCTAATGCTCTGCACCAGTTGCGGATGAGGAGGTACAATATTTTATTAGCACAACCACAAAAAGCGTCAGCCCCTCTTATTGCTGCAGCAAAGACTATATGGCTATGGACAAGCCTTGCAGCTGGAGGATTCCCTCTTAAGAGCAGTGAGTTATCACAGCTCTCAAATGTTCATAGGACCTCGAATCCTGACACTTCACATCCCCAAGTTCATGAACCAGTCCAGTTCAGCCAATCAATGGCTCTCAATTCTGCCCCTGAAAAGGTTGCTGATAACAAATACAAAGGAAAACACATTCGGAAAATGCCAAATCAGCCTACCATATCTAGAATCTCAAGTATTCCAGTTGTATCTCAAGAAAGTAAGAATAATGGTTACTCTTATCAGCAGGAACATATGCAAGCAAAGCAGTTTAAGAAAGCTCCCCATGAATTCTTTAGTCCAGGTGAGCCTGTTGTCTCCTCAAGCATGTTTCCCCGTTTTTTCCCAAACGATCTTGATACTTTAGCAGGTGGCGGAAGTACTGCCTTAGGTGACCCACAGAATCATTATCCTCATTCTTCAAGGCCAACTAGCTTCACAATGCAACAAGCTTATCTACCAGAGAATCCACCATCTCTTAATCCAAATAATCTTGGTTTTCACCCCATGCCACCAAGAAACGGTGGCCCCAGATTTTCTTCAGCCCCAATAACAAATGTACTTGATATTGGTAAGCTTAGTACGTCTCATTATCCAAACTATCCACAGACTCATCCTAATTTTAGTAATAGAACTACGGAAGAGTTTAAATCCTCTGCTGAGTCTTCCTATCCAGCTAGCGCAAGTGCTCAACAGAAAGTTCATATGCTACACGATGGCCAAGTAATTAAGTGTGATCCTCCAAACATGTATTCTCGTGGTCCTGATTTCTCACCTGTATCATCTACGGTAGTTGCTAGCATGGGTTCCAAGAATAAGATTTGGGGAACTCCAGGGTGCTCAGCACCTCCTGAATACGTACAAGGCCTTATTGGGATTGTCTTACTTGCTTTAAACACTCTGAAGATTGAAAAAATTATGCCTACTGAAGCAAACATAACTGATTGCATCCGCTTTGGAGACCCAAAGCATCGAGGTACTGATGTAAGGAAGGCTCTCGATAGTGCGATTGAGCATCATATGGCAGTCATGCAAAACTTAGGCGAATTGCAGTTGTACATTGGTAAGAATGAGAAACTATGGAAGTGCGTGAATCCTATTGGTGGTAATCCCAATCAATATCCGAAAGCAACTTGGGATGGAATACAAAAGTTTCTGGCCTCACCTTCTGGCCGATCGGCCATAATGGCCTCTAAATGCAGGTGATGTGTTTTTTATTCATGGGTTTTTTCTACCTGACAAAATCCCGATTCTGCCTGAGCAAACTCTTTTCATTTATCCAGGTATGAAGCAGCTTTAATTCTAAAACAGGGATGTCTGAAGAAACTTGCTTTGGGTGACGTTCTCCAAGTCTTGAGTATGGTAATTTCAATGAAGAAATGGATTATTCACCATCAATCAGGATGGCAACCAATTATGATAAACCTAGCAGAGACTAAAACTGAAACAGGTACCAGAACTGGTGCTTGACTAATTAAAATTAGATTGGTATTTGAGAAGTGGTCTGACAGTGTGCTTAGGTCTGAGTTCTTGACTACATTAAAGACACACTGAATTTGGAAATTTTGGGGTGTAGGTCACTTTAAAAGTACTTCTAAGCATTTTAAGTATTTGGTGCAACTAGGGCAGTGGTTTCTCTGAAAGAACAAAAAAATTAAGAGAGAGAAAAGAAGAACCATGGTGACAGAGACAGTGACTCTCGTATTATGGAATAGAATGATGAGAACTTTCCTTTTTTCTTTTAGTTCCCTAGAAAGTTCTGGCAGTTCTATTTGGGGAAAGAAAGCATTCTACAGGTATGGCTCTTGTTACAATGTACTAGTCACAGTTATAAGTGACAGCAGAATCCTAATGGGTTTTTGGAAGACTATTACAGGTTGTCTGTCCAAAGGTCATCCCTAGGATATTCTGATCCATGTTGGAGATTGCTTTATTAGAATCAAAGTTGTAGCCTGACTTTTATCTTGTAGATGTAATAGGTATGATACATTTGCGTAAAATGATGTTTGGTTGATTGGAATTAAAAGTAGAAGCGCCCGTTCTATTCTATAGATGTAATTGGTGCAGGAGTTTTGGTTAAAGTGATTCGTGGTTTCAGATCCTAAATGTGTAAGCAAGTTGTTATGTTAATTGTTGTCTGCTGTGGAGATATCTAGTGATATCTGCAGTTGTCAGCACTGTCATATATGTTATGGAGAGTGGAGACTTCTTGATTCGAAGAGTAAAGCTCTGTCAGAAATGATGTTTTTATGGATGAGTTGAAAGGAATGTAATAATTGAAGAACTAAGCACCTATATGTATGTTACATATGCTTTTGAAGTAAGCGAGGCCAGGAAGTTAAAACACTTGGTGATGCAGTGTTGAAGAGAAAAGTGGAGCTTAATGATTGTTTGCTCATGTAAATGGTTTACTAGTTGGAATTCATGAGGTATGTAAGAATTAGTTTTCTGATATTAAGGTGAAGGTGTTTGCTTCAGCTGTTAAGTGTTTCTGGTGTTCTTCCAAGTTTGTGTCTTATGCATTATTAGATAGAGAACAAGTGAAAGTGTGCGGGATCCAGTACTATTAATGTTCAAAAGCATGATTTTGGATGTGAACTTCAGTATTGTTCAAATTGTTCATGTGTTTTTATAGGGATTTGCGGTGGGAGTTAATATTTGGGGGGTAGATGAGTGAAAAGCAGCTGTTTATGACAACTCTGGTTGATGGCTTTTAAAGACGTTGAAGTAGAGTTCAGTGAAGTCTATAACATTCTCAATCTGCAGTGATTCAATTCTCCAATTGATGTAAGAGAGCTTGATAATCTGTGGGAATTATTTGATAACCTATATTTTGAATTTGGTTAATTTAGATGTAGGTTTAGTTGAAAATTAAACATCTATTAGCTTATAACTGAAGTTAGATTTGGCATGACGAAACTGAAGTTGAGAAAGTATTCAGGTGAAGATTATATGGGCATGGCTTTGTTTATATCGAAATGAACTAAATTGATTTTAATATTTTAATTTTTATTAACACCTTTACTAAATCATTAATATGGATTCTTAGAACATATTTTAACTTTTTAGAAAAATATTTTTACAACTTATTTTGTATATTATCTTTATTTACATTTTTTAAAAAATATTTAATTAGTATAAACGGAACATGTCAGTCCAATCTACTTTTCTAGTTTCGGTTGGATTTTGCTCACCTCTACCTAAAATGTTGTCCTTCCTATCTATCAAACAAACAAGAGTAACTCAAAAGCCTAATACTAGTTGAAATCTTAGAAAGTTTTTGGAAATTAAATCAAAGTTTGTTCGTAAAACATTTGCAACATATCGAGTTTGACAGCATCCAATTTCAACTTGCGACGTGTTCGGTCAATTTTTTTTAAAAAATTAAAAGGTAGAATTAACTATGCGCCAAAAATAAATAATATTTAAAGCAAAATTAGTTGATTTCTTTCGACAAAAACAAAATTAAAACTTGAATATAGATATTGTAATTAGTATACTTTTATATCTTATTAATTTAATATATTTAAAATAAAAATATAATACTAATTAGTAACTACTGTCTTTATATATTATAGATTATTTTAAAATTAAGAAAATAGAATTATGTTATATTGTATAAAATAAATAAAATAATTGAATAGAACTAAATATGTCATACTAGTTTAATTTTTGAATAGTATTTAACATTCAATGTATTTATATAACTATTCCAATAAATAATAATTTCATAACATAATAAATCGAACATACTTGTATATCTTAATTGAAGTGTTTTTATATGTATGCGTAATTATCCAAAAACTTTTTGTTTAGATCAAATGGAACAACTTCAGCTGTGTTTAAAGATCTAAAACAATTTCTGCATGATTCGTTGATACTATCAATACGTGCATCTCAATTCCCAACTAAAACAAAAAGATTATATCTCTTCCAGATAATCTTTTGATAATGCAAATGTTTGATAACCTCCTGACTCATCAATATCGGATTTATACTTCAAGGGAGGCTTTAGTGGAGTTTCTGCATTTAAGTCAAACAGACGGAAGATCGTGTATCAAGTGTTTGAATCAACTCTAGGATTTTAAAAGACGTACTCCCTGAAATCCAGCCTAGCCAGGCAGAAACTCACCAAACATTGCATATACATTTCTTCTACCCACTCGACTATCCGAAAATCAATAATGCCAGGCTCGGCTGGGTAACTGATACTTATAAATGACCATTCAAGAAGGAATAGGCATGCACATTGGGTACATTCACATTTCAACTATATTCTAACACAATTGGGGTGTCATTTCTTTGAGGACTGGACTGGGACCCTATTGCGCCCGATCTCTTGGCACACCACTATCACAGATTGTTACTAAAATTCCACGACATCAGATCATAGTTCCACTTGAGGATGAATCAGGGAAGGAACGGATGATGAGAAGGACATGCTTGTTTCTGCTTTTTATAAGCCCTGAGCAGTAAAATGAACACGTAATTCCAATCACCAAAATTGTTTGTAAGATTAATCAATATTCAGAAGAAGACTAGCCCATATTAACCTGGCAGCATTAAATCCCCCAAGTCCAACAGCTCCAAGAACGATAAGCAGGAAGGGAATCTGAACCAAAGTATGATTTCTTCTTCCTGGGTATGCCCTTGGAACTCCACTTCGAACAACTTGTGTGTACATATCTGACCATCAAAGACAAACCCGAATGATAGAAAATTTGATAATAAGTTGAAAAAGTGAAATTTCATTAGTAGAAGATTACCTGAGGTTGAACAATTGCCCCTTGCACCTGTAATAACAGCGATTACATTGAACATGAGTGAGAAATAGTGAACTTTAAAAATGAGATACAAGAACCCCTCAACCAAGTGAGACCCATGGTTTGCAAACTTGAAACCCAAATAAGCTACCTATTTAATTAGTGGTCCTATGGTTGATTATATGTAATCCTATGAATACTAGAGCACTCTGCACTTGGATGAATCACCAAAGCATGCAAATAAGCTATCATAGATACAATTTCCAATTGGTGGCACGAAAGTACTATCAGGGAGTAAACAAGTCACTAACTCAACTAACTTGCATCAACTGGGTTAGCTAACTTACCAGTAGAAAAAATATGTACTGGAAACACATCAAAGTTTAATTAATGAGCACTATATGAACAACTTAACAATACATGTGAAACAACTTCTTGAGGATAAGAAATGGTCATTGATAACATAAAATCATTTTTCTCATCAATACCCAGTTATTATGTACTTGCATCTCACAGCTTACTCGTGAGTCTGATGAGCCACATGTAAGTTAACTAATCTGTCAAATCATCTTCAAGAAAATCAAGACCATCATCATCAGTGGTAACACCTCCAGCTGCAGGATTAACCTCCAAAGGCTCAATTATACTAGCCATTGTTACCATATACCCAGGTCTAGTTTCCTCATGTTCATTCTCATCCACTTCATCTCCATAAAGTTGTTCCATCTCGCAATGTAGTATCTCCTGAAACAGAACAAAGGATTCAAAGAGAAATCTAATGTAATGCTAAAGAGAAAAGTAGTTGTCAGCAGCAAAGTATGAGAAGGAAAGGTAGATGCAGGCATAAAACGTCTGGAGTACCTCATCTTCTTGCATGACTTGTTTCTCTGACTCAAGAAGCCAGTCATCCACCAAACTTTCTAGCATTGCACTGTCGAAGGAAACTAATTCATCTGGCTTCCTCCCAAGCTGGCGTTCTCTAAGTCGCAAGTTATAGTGAACATAGGTAAGATCATTCCATCGTTTCCGGGACAGGCTGTTATGCCTTTGGATGTGAACTTGATCATATAAACTCCATGTATGTTCACATCCAATAGATGAGCATGTCTGGCTTAGTATTCGGATGGCAATTCGTTGAAGCTCTAAGCAACTTATCCCATGTTGTTGCCACCATGAAGCTAATAATATGGATAATACAAACTTCTATTAAACCAACTTCAAATTGAGTATAAATGCTGCTATTTTTTACTGAAAAATCCATTTGTTATGCCAAATCACCTGGATCAAGCTCAGTTCTTGTACTTATAGCCAATTCTGTTCCAAAATCAGCTTTTGCAGATACATAATCAGGTATCTGATGAAAAAACAATGAATTGCCAATGAAAGAAATGTAAGCGAAGATTCCATGGGCATATAGTGAGCCTTATGGATATTTGAATGACCAAATAAGGAATCAGATAAAGTCTGCCACTAATCCTGCCCTAAATCTAATAGAAGAAATACCAAATCTGTAGGAAGCCATTACCTGCATAGATGCAGATATCCTTTTTGCACTGTCTGCTTCCAGTCGAACAATACATTCATTTAGACCACGAATGACCTCAGGATGCTGTCACACAATAAATAAATTAGGATTGGCAGGACTAAATATTTTATTAACCTAGTAGTCACCATTTCTCATACCATTACAAAATCTGGACGGTAACGATATGACGGATTGAGAAAGTAAGCAGCCACGTAAAGAGGATGATGGAACAATGAGCTCCAGTGGCTGTCTATCACACTCCAGAAAGGTCCATATTTTCGCATATCATCACCATGGATGGTCTTAATCACATGCTTAGCTCGAAACATATCATTATACAAAAAAGGCATTGATCGGCTGTCATCACCGTATATCTTTTGCACAACATCTGCAACCGGTTCTAAAGATTTTCTCACATATTGTACCTTCTTCCAAAATGTGACATTTAAGACAATTTTTTCGACTTCTTTACCTTCAACTGATTTGGCCAACCGGGAAGAAAGCCATTTGTTTGATTGAAGCATTCTTCTAAGGCCAATCCTGTGGTCCAACAAACTCTGTAAAGTGAAAAAACAAGTAGCAAACTTTGTAACAGCTGGTCTAAGAATTTCCTGTCCCCTGGTGAATTCTTTCTTCATAAAACTCAACAACCATGTGCTGTTATAAATGAACCTAGTAATTCTTTTTGCTTTATCTACGCAATTCCCTACACATTTTATATTCAAAAAATCTTCCAGCATTCTATCAATGGAATGAACAGCACACGGTGTCCAAAATAGATTTCGTCTTTTCTCTTCAAGCATCTTGCCTGCAGACTTGAAACTAGCAGTGTTCATGGTAATTACCTGTTATAAAAGCAGAGAAGAAAAACAGCTTAGCAGCCTGCTAATCAATTGTAGTTAAATGAAGACACCTGAGAGAAGCACAAGCAAGGAGTTTTTACCTGGACTACATTTTCTTCACCAATCTCCCCCACTACTTTGTCCAACCATTTATAAAGGTTGCCAGCATCTTCTATTATCTCAGATGCATCAATGGAAGAATGAAAATACACACCACGAGGGCAAGCTACGAGAAAGTTAATTAATATCCTGCCCTGAATGTCATTCCAGCTATCAGCCAAGATTGAACAACCAGTAATTGCCCAGGATGCCTTAAACTCTGAATAATGCTCTTTAAAACTAGCAATTTCATCTTGAAGATATCGACCAGATATAAGCCGGCTCATGGAGCCCTGCAGTCCTTGCCCATACTGTCCAACCAACTCTAGCATCTTATGGAAATATGGAGAGTTTGCTGCACTGGAAGGGATTCCAGCATGATGAAAGAATTTGCATATAGCAGATATCACTTCTTTCCGTGCTTTCTTCTCAATACCCATCTTTGGTTTAACTTGCTTCATGTGTGATGTCTGGCTTTTGAGTGACTTCAGGAAGACTGAATCTAATCTTGATCTTTTGAGTACTGGTTCAGCACCGCTGACGCTGCTACAAGGGGACCTACCCCTAACATTGTTTCTGATATCACTGTCGGAAACTTTATCATCAACTGCCAGCATGTCCTTACTCATATACTGTCTAAACCTTTCCTCCTGCTCCTCATCTTCATTATCTGAGTGCCCATAGAAAGCAGATATCTCTTTAGTATCAGGTTTTCGATGTCTTCTACCAGTGCGGTGCCACTTCATGTTCTCCTTAATTTTAAGATAAACATCCTCAGGTGCCTTTTCACAACATGCAACTTCACCAGGGATTCTAGCCAGATGCTGTTTAAAACGATTTATGCCCCCACTAATTATTTTCTCACAGTAATTGCATTTTACCCTTTTCTTCTTTTCATCTTGAGGGACACAATGTTCCCAACCAGGGTCCACATATCCTAATGATCGAAGTGGTGCATATCTTATAAGTAAGTTCTTATCACTCATCACTTTCTTGCCTTTGTGTTTGTAATCAGGAGGTGATTCTTCTGTCTCATTGCCCTCAGGAGAACGGAAAGCCAAAGGTGCCGGTTCATATCCAGATTGTCTCCTTTTCCGACCAGAACGACAACCTTCCAGATTTTTTCTCATATTTAAGCATACTTCATCTGGAACTTTTTCACAGTGAGTAACTTCCCCAGATATTCTAGCTAAATGTTGTTTCAACCTGAATATTCCACCACTCACTATTTTCCCACAATAATTGCATTTAACCTTCTTTTTCCTCTCATCTTGAGCTACACCATGTTCCCATCCGGGGTCAACATATCCTGTTGACCGAAGTGGGGCCATTTCTTCAACCATTTGCAGCGTGGAAAACAACTTTGTATTATTTGGCTGTTAGAACACTGAAGGAAAAACTAAAATAAATAAACAGAAAAGCACTAGCAACTCTTGTATCCATATGAAAATAATTGTAGAAAAAAAACATAGATTACTTGGACAGCTTGTTCTCACTAATACTCTGGTTGTTTTAAATCCATGCAGATATTAGAAAACGATGTGCAGAAAACTTTACAGACTCCCCACTATTGTAACTGATCAAAAAATAAGCATGTAAGTCAACGGCAGAACAATCAACACAAAGGATTTACGTTGAATGACACATTCATATATATCTTGAATCAGCAGGAGGTACTATTCAACCATCCCATATATTTTAAGAATCACAAAATTTAACAACAGATCAACAATTAAGATTTAACATTATTCACAAAAATATTATTTGAAAATTAATTCTCCATGAATTTTGTCTCAGAGTAAAAACACAATCCTGTAGTTTAGGAGCATTATTTCAAACTTTTAATGATGATATTTGCTTATAAATGCACCAAATAAGTGATGCCGTAAGAAACATACAACTTTTTCACATCAGAGTAGAGAGTCTTTCAAGAGAAAGTGAACCATTATGTGTAAACAATTTTTAGGAACTCAAAGCAAATACTATAACATGGAGTATCTTGGATGCTCAGACAACTGTTTCACACATCAATAGCATCCACCAGGAAAAGGGGGAAGAAAGAAATTTCACTCTTACAATAAATTGGCCCGTTTGACACACTGGAATTCCTTTCCCAAGTGCAAATATCCTGGTGCACGCTTGCAAAAGACCATGCTGGAAGACAATTTATTCCTCAAAACCATTGAAATAACTCCTTCCTGAACTAATTACCAAATCTAAAGTAGAAAGTGAGGGTAAACTCCAAAAACGAAAATGAGAAAGGAAACAAGTAGCGCAGAAAATCAGTGAGCATAAAACATGGAACTGATGAACAAGATTCACAAACTCAGGTTCATGATTGAAGGAATAACAGCATGACCCTCAGAGGCAAAACTATACATTATAATTAGAATTTGAAACTGTAAGTTTGTAAAGTCTAGAGTCATTATGTGGCATGATATAGTTAATCAGGAGTATCCCGTAGCCAAATGAATCTTGTAGTTCATTTGGGAGTTTGCAAACCAAGACCTCCAAATAATACGTCTAATCTTCCTCACAATATAAAGGCAAGAGAATTACCAGATAGTAGGCATGCATAGGCTTCTGAAATCTGTAGCACATTTAAATATTAATTTCAGAATGAAATACTATGGAGAATAAAATGTACCATATAGAAAGTTGTAGATTATTTGCTAATATCTCTTCTTTTCTTTTAGGGCCTTGGGGTGGATGGAGGTGGCTGATGCTCTTACACTCACAACTATTAACTAAAACTGCATGCAGTGACGATCAAAATCTGATGGTCTTACAATATAACAAGCTAATAATCAAGAAACATGCAAGTGAAAAAAAATGAGAAGGTTTATGCTCTTTTAAGTTATAAACTTAAATTAATATACATGGAGTTCATTATTGTAATAACAATTCACGAATAGAAGGTAACTCAACTGTTGTAAAGCAAATAGGAGGAAGGACTTAAATAAATGGTACATTCAACTGTTGCATGAGATAATCAAAGCTTTAACCTCTACAATTTTTCTCAAGGGTAAAAGGTAACTCAAGTTTTTATACAATTGTTATGTCAAGATTTTATAGGTAGGTAATATTACTAGAATTGCAATTGAGAAAAACAGGGAGGAAGTGTGTTTAATGTTAGATGCCAAAGAAAGAAAAACAAAAAGGTTCGAGGAGCTTATTGCTAAAATTACATTCCATTTAGCTTCTAACCTTGTTAAACTATGTTTGAATTGAAAGGTCTGGATTAAAAATTGAGAAACAAAAGGGAAAGGGAAGGATGGTAAACATTTCTCCATTTCTCTTAAATATCCATTTCTTTCATTCCCCAAGATTAGGAGAAAAGGAGAAAGGAAAGAGGTTAACTTTCTTTCAATGATGAATTCTGGTTCGTCCACAAATATCTGATTTGTTACTCTCTTAATTTATCATATAGTTGAAATATCCATTACAACTTTCTCTCTTTCTTTTCTTTCAATTAGTTATCCAAATAAGAATAATTCATTTCCCTTTTAAAAACCCTTGTGTCCTTCCCCTCATTTCCTTCACTTTACAATTTAATCGTAGAAAATGGAAGTACTCCTCACTCACTGTCAGGAAATTAAATAGAATAGGAAAAATATTACAGCAAGCATCTCCAGAGGAAAAATAATTACCCAGATACTCCACTGGGATTGTAGTAACTACCATGAACAGAAAAATTCTAGGCAAACTTTTTCCTGATATTTTAGCCTGTTTACAATTGAATACTTAAAGCATGAAAACTGTTTAACTCAATCCTCAGTTACAACTAGAGAACAAAAAAAGTATGTTGGTTTGGACAGGCTTAGACCTGTTGAGGCCTTATAACAAGTTGAGCAAGAAAATGCAGCAAAATCATCTGCTACCCCCAACAAGAGAATAAGAAGGCAAAAATGGGGTTTCTTTAGTTATTATTATTTTACTTTAAACATCAACTCCCAAAAAGATAATTTCTTTTAAGCACTACGGCTAATGGACAAAGCAAACCGCGCATGAACAACAACAACATTAGTTTCTGGTTGCCTAATTGCTCACCAATTTGAATTTAGAATCGGCAAGTGGCTTCTCATACGCTGGAAAGAGGTCAGGATGAGATTCCCATACTTTGCTTTTATAAGCAGCCTTAACCTACCAAAGAGAAAGAGAAAATAACTAAACTGATGCAACATTCATAAGTTTAACACGTAAGTAATGCTAATTACAAAGAAAAAAAAAAAGTCATAAAAATTTTAGTGATTCAAAGTTATAAAACTATCAACTTCGCAAATTCATTTCAATTGAGCAAAGCAAGTGATTCGGCTGAAGCTTCAAGTAACAAATGAAAAAAATTCAACGTCAAGTCAACTGAAACAACAAAAATCTCAGTTCACAACTAAGTTAATTTGGTTCGTTAATCACGATCCTTATAACCCTAAAAAATTAACGCTAAAATAGATCCGATAAACATCGAAAAGGAAAACATAGAATCGGAAATAGTAGGAAAAATGGAAACACATAAATAAGTACCTGAGATAAAGTTGGACGAGAATTAGGGGGGAAGCCTAGCAAGACCCTGGCCTCATCGCCCTGCATCTCTCTGAAATTTATTCTCGTCTTGTGTATAACCTCATGTTTTGTTTTTAACCTTTATCTTCACATATTATTGCGCCAACATTTTTTATGGGAGAGTTTTGGGTGTGAGTGCTCGGACAGACGTTTGATTCTTACAGGAAGATCAGGAGGAGATCAAAGATTTTACAACGGCGAAAGGAAAAAGTTTGGTAGGTGCTTCTGTTGGGGACTAATGAGTTCAGTTCTATTTTGAAAATGAATTTTTTTTTTTGTTTGTAATTTTTTAAAGAATAAAATAAATTATTATGTTATATTTATTAGTTTATAGTTATATGATAATCATATTAAAGCTTTAACTATTATTCGGCCTTTGCTGATAAATATATTTATTACAGATATTTAAATATTATCTTTTAATATCATAGAGTTAATTATAGTTACATACAAATTTTAAAAATGTTTACCTAATTAATTATTATATTTACGAACTAAAAATAATATATATATATACACACACACATAACCCGTGTTATTGAATGTTAACTTACTGTATGAATTAAAAGGAAGAGAAATTATTATATGAGAGAATTTGACGTCCCCTTCAACAAGAAGTCAAAGGTCTTTCTCTTAGGAAGGAAATTTTAATACAGTTTTATGGGCTAACGAGAGAGTAAGGAAGAAGGATTCGATATCAATTTTATTGAATTTGTGAAAATATTAGAAATGTTTGATTTACTGAGTGTTTTATGTAAACAATCGGTATATATTAATTATTTTTTAATATATTATATTAAAATATTTTAATTATCATGACTTATATTTGATATTGAAATATTTTATAATTTTCCAAAGTTGATAAGACAAAAAAGAAGCTTAAATAAGATCATAAGTTCTACCAACTTGTAAAATTAGAAGGTTACAAGAGATGTGAGAGTTTGAGAGGAATGAAAGGTAGGTAAAAGATTTGGATGGAAAAAATAAAACAATTGAACTTTGAGATTAAAAGAGATAAAAAAAAGAGAATTCAAATGGAGATGTATGATGGAATCAAAGGATCGAGAAAACTGGATGTAGAAGTAGGGATAGAATATTTCTATTCAAATGTGCTCATATTATTAAATAAAAAAATTTTAAATTTGTTTTACACATAAAACGTGTTCATATTTTATTGTTACTCTACATATAATTAATAAATTCAAATAATTTATATATACATTAATGTTATATATAATAAATAATATAAATAGTCCGGATCAAGTACAAATAGATAATTTATAGGCTACTAGTACTACCTACAACAAGCAAATAAAAACAAGGGGGTAAATTACAATCTCAATAAAGCATAATCCAGTTCACGAAATGTGCTACAAAAACATAATTGGATTTACAATGAAAATGATGAGTCAATTCAAGTTGAAAGTAAAACATAATTGATAATTAAGTTGTTAAGCTAATGCACAAATAAATGAATAACTTGCAATTATTATTGTTATATATATACAGATCATGTGCGGTACAAAATTTTTATGTACAGCCAAAACAATTTTAACCAAGGACTTTGTCCTATACAATTCTCTAATGTCTCCTTTACAATCCCAATAGTGATGAAAGGTTCCAGACGGTCAACTTGCCGCTTCCGTCCCCCGTGAAAAAGAGGCCTCCTGGCCCAATCTCGATTAGACGAACTTCATGTTTGGAAAATATCTTACCCCGCTCAGTGAATCTAAGAAATATGGTTATAAATGTTACAAAAAAAGGATTCTGTTAAGACACATAATGCACAAGAATTAACTGATACTTACGATGGCAAGTCATATAGATGGATAATGTTGTCATTAGAAGAGCAAAACAAAATTGGTTTGTCTTCCACATCAGCAATCCCACAGAGTGAAAGTATACCCTGGTCCAAACAAAATTATTTCATGAAATTAATTCCAATTCCAAAATATCACCATCAAAAGTCTTGAGCAAGACGTGCAAATTAGCCTAAAGAGATGAAAAAATGTACAACTTAGCTTCATAATAGGACTAGCAAATAAATCCAAGTGAAGATAAACAAATAGCTACTATATCAGAATTTGAACTTTATATAGTTCCTACTCTCATCCCACCTTTTTTTCCCAAAAAGATTTTGAGTAGCAGCAACGCTATGAATGGACAAAGTGAATAACAAGAAGAGACGCAAACACAAGTGGAAATATAGCGATTAAGCAGACAAAGAGAAGATTCTGAAGTAGCAGCAGCAGGTAAACTGTGAGAATAAAGAAACAAAAACATTTCTAAATCTATCTACAGCCCATGATCAGCCAGCTTTTATCCAAATATATTCAGTGAACTTCGATTATTATATACTTGTCACTAAGTGCCAGACGTGGAATTTGAGAAATGAAGAAAATTCAAAAGTTACCAGGATTTTATGACTAACACGACAGCCACAAAAAAAAAAAAAAAAAAAAAAGAAACATGATGGATAGACAAAAAAGCAAAATGCAAAGGAACCTTGTCCAGGTCCTAGTCCACACAATCTGTGACACCCACAGCAGAATAGCATCGGGAAATTAGCTCGGTATCCGGAGAAAAGGCTGGAAATAAATGATACCTGTTGTTCAGTGTGCGTATAGAATACTTCCAAGACACCTTTTTCAGATGTACCCCAGAATTTTAAAGTTCGATCCAATGAGCATGATAACAAAAACTGATCCCAACAAAGAAGAGATGTAACTGCCTCTTTATGCCCTTTCAATGATGTAACAAGCTGCAGTGTGTCAAGGGCCCAAACCTGGTTTTATATTTAAAAGGAAATGGTAAATGATACTTGTGCATATCGAGAAAATATTATCACATGAAATCGAATGATTTGTGCGAAGGTCACTTATTAATCAGATAAGCAAAGACAACAAAATGGAGACCATGTAACGTTAAAAAATGAATATATCGATACTAGGAAAAAATTCTCATGTAAAACAACACAAATACACACTGTATTCCGCAAGATGACAAGAATTAAAGAATAGAAGAGAACAATAATCAATACCAAAGTTACTCATGGTTCAGAAAGTTACAACAGAGGGAACTAGTTCAACCTTGTTTTATTTCCTTCCAATTCCTACATTTTAAGTTTCTTTGACATCTGAAAGTTAATCATAATTTACATATTTGAAACATAAATTAATCAATTAAATTCATATTTCAATATGAAAACTATAGATTTTTATTCTCACATATTAAGCAATAACAAAAACACAACTTAAATTAGATATGGAATTAATTTGTAATTGGAATAATATTTTCTCTCAAGTTTTTATTTTATTTATATTATGTTCTCACTCATATCCCACAGAGTTGAAATTTAAAAAAAAAATCAACCTTAACGTTAATAGCTAATTGTATTCCTTAGTTGGTATACTACTTACAAGTTTGAATATTCTAATATTGAATTTCATCTCTTCCGGCTTAAATCAAATTTCAAAAGACAAGGGGGCAGAGTTTACTTGATACTCATAAGAAAGAGTTACCATGGAAAATGACCTATCTTGCAGAGTATATGACAGAAATAACCAATGAAATTAAGATAATAGACATAAAGAAAAAAGAGAAAGAAAGATATACAGGATACTTTGTATGAAGAAGCTGTATGTTGACACGAAAATTAGTAGCAGAAAATTTTCTTAATATCAACAACATACCCTTATTGTACCAGCAATTGATCCTGAGTATAGCCTTCCCCTTCCAATACATAAACATACCACAGGGCTAGTGTGGCCTTTCAAGCAAGCGACTTTTTGAAATGGATCAGTTTCAGTATTGCCTTTCCAGACCAAAATAGTTCCATCCTGCAACACCAATGAGAGCAAATTTTAAGTAACTAATCTTAAAGATATAATCAGAGTCATGAAAACCTGCCAAAATGGCTCTGTCCAGCGATATCAATGACAGGAAAAATTTTTAACAACTGATCTTATGATGGACTTAAATTCTTGAAACCCCACAATACATCAGTTAGATGCATTTGCTCAAACAATTAGAACTATCCAACTTTCAGAATTTATTTTCCAACCCAGCAAAGTAGCTTAAGCCTAGTGACACAAGTTAAAAGGAATTCCATATTGCAAATGAAGCATTTACCTGCGCCCCTGCCAAAAGCATGTTGTCGCCAACAACCATAGCATTAACTTGACCTACTGGTCCTTCCAGATTGAATTCTGCAC